TTTTCCATTTCCCGGGCTTCTGGTGGAAGTGCTATGGTTATGTCTTCGATCTATTTTGTTTTTCTCACACAGAAAAATGAAAAAGAAAAAAGAAAAAGAAAAAGAAAGACGGAAAGAAGGAAAGGAGGAGAATTGTTGATTGCTGCAGGGGCGTCTTGGATAGTTCAGAAACTTCCGATTCCAGATCGTTGGCTTTTGAGATAAACTGAACCTCTGACGTTCATTCCGAGTACCGGTCAAACGGCCTAGCCACTGATTAGACGGAAGTTAAAATATTGGAGTCGCTCTTACGTTTAAAATACCTCTTAGTAGTTGTTTGATCGGTTTAGTCCATACTCGCATTTTTTGATATTTGCACGACTTTTTTTTTTTTTTTTTTTTTTTTTTTTCCCTTCGGAGCAATGCGGAACGTCATCTAAATATCCGAGCATTATGAGATGAGAAAGAAAATAAGTGGGCATCCGGATGCACGGGCGCCACAGGTCGACAACCCGCAGATACATACATATCCTACACAACGACTTACTACAACGTAGTACTTACTAGATAGGTAATAAGCCACTGCACTCGGGAAAAGATAAAAGATAAAAATAAAAATAAAAATAAAAAAGGACGACCCTGATCTTCCCGATACAATTCTTTTCGGGTGGTGGCAAAGAACATGGATATCTCTCATATGATATTAAATCTTCTCTCATTCTTGTGCCGTTAATGATATAGTATTTACCGACAATCACTCTCATTCGAACATTTTATCTACTCTGGATTACAAGTACATGCATAACCACCGATAGGTTCAAATCTAGGCTCGAGGATCCGAGCGCTGCTAATCGCGCCACTAGTCATTTCTTTACTATCTTTAGTGATGGACAAACAGACTTCCTTTTTTAGGTAACAGGGAAAAAAAAAAAAAAGACCTCTCCATGTCAAAGTTTGTCGAGCCGAGGAAACGCAGACGAAGTGGCAATGGACAGGACAGTAACCTGTACAATTTGAGAGACTTTCGAGTCATTGTCCGCCTTGTCACCGCCGAGTATTGAACCCTCGTTTTCTTTTCCGTTTATTCTTTCTTCTCCTTTCGTTCCTTCTCTCAAATATGAAATGCTCTCTGCTTTGGAGTCCCTCTCGATGATGTCGAAAAGTCCTCAGGGCGATAAGAAACAGGAGGGGGGGGAGTGGATGCAATACATGCATGTCAGACCGATATGATTCAAAGTGGTTGGTTAATTCAAAGCTACAGAAATTCTCCGACAAGGAGTGCTTCGATTCCTAAAGTGAACCTATTGACTTTTTGTTTTCTCTTCCCTTCTTCTTCTTCTTCTTCTTCTTCGTCCTCATCTTTATTATTATTCTTTCTTTCTTTCTTTTAAGGGGTGCTCTCAAAAAAATCAAAGTGCTCGGGAATTGCTTCGGAAGACCGGATGGTAGCAAGGAAGTAGGAACAGAGAATGAGGTAAATCGTATTCAGTACTTGCGCCTGTGCGCATTGGTCTACCGTAGATAACGCAACATTGGGGCCTTGCTATGTCAGCTTGGCGGGAGAATGGGATGAACTAGAATCCCCAAGACAAAAGATATCTATCTAGCTAGCTTTGATTCCCATCACTCGAAGCTCGTAGAGACTGGATCAGTCCACCCTTTCCTAATTGGCCCAATAATCTGGTTCAGTGCAACCTCGTTCTTGACTCCACTTGCAGCAATGGCTGTGTCAATCGTAGATACTAACGACTAACCACTAGTAGTACTGTTAGTCGAGTGGGTCATGATGAGGTGAGTGTCTGTGTCAATGACTAAACACAAACGTTTTGTCGATCATCTTTACCAGCACTACGAGTATCTGAGTATCTATGTCCTAGTGGGAGGCACCTCTGCACCAGCAAACTAACCAACCCCCCCCCCAAAAGACTTTGTATGTACACCCATACGCATACCCATACACACATACACACATACACTCACAGATTGTGTTTGCAACTAGGGCGAATATACGCAATTAAATAAGATATCGACTTGGGTGATGAATTCTCTCATCTGTTGTTCATTAATCATTCAGCTACCTAGCCCATTATCTTCCCAGATCAATGCGCGAACAGCACGCGTTTTACCCTCAAGTAATATGTAACCTAGGCAAATGTACTAGTAACGGTCCGCGCGGCCTTGGAATCATCGGGGTGGTCTAACGGGTGGAAGGAGGGTGTCAACTCACCGACGCCCTGACAGCGCCTAAGCCCGGCACGATGGTTCTGAGTCCAGAAACTGGTGCCCGTGCTCCTGCATTCCTTCCTTGTTAACCTTTCCCGATTAAGTTGGCTCACACATTGACCTCTAGGGTTTGCCAGCTGTTCTCCTGGGTGAATTTTGATTGTGAACGGAAAGGATCAGACGCGGAGAAGTCCTGTGTCATGGCAGCCCGAAAGAGTTCTACAGCCTCCCAACTCATGTCGTTCCCCCTTGGCTGAGGAAACCCCTCTTGGAATTATATTGGCTTCCGTCCGTTCCTTGGCATAGCCAACCAGACTCACTACTGTGTAGCGGGTATTAACAAGTGTGTGACTCGACCTTGGGGGGCCCATTCGATCCGGTTTCTAGATACAACAGTCTAGACCAAAAGCCCACCGGTCCTATCACTCCCCAAATGGCTCGCAACTCACGTTCTATGGGACCAATCCTAGCTTAAATGCAACCGTGCGTGATCTCACCCTTGATAAAAGGGCGGTTAATTCTTATTGCAACCTCTTCCTTAATCCAAAAGATGCATATCTCGAGGTTCACATCACTAACATATCATATATGCCTTCATCGAATAGCTATCGCTGATCATTACACAAATTGATGATTCATTTGATGACCAGTGCGAGTCAGGACGCAGGCGGGAGTAGCTAGCCTCCAGACGTGTTTCGCCTTTGGGGACAGATAGAGTAGTTACTACACTGATCTTACTCTAGGCAGAAAAGGTGCGGGCCCACTAGTCTCATCAGAGGCTCCTGGCTGGCTAGGATTCTGAATGTCAAGTAATTGAGGCGGATATGCTGTAATGCAGTAGCTATGGGGATTTGATCCCAATTCAGAAGTCTATAACACCTAAGTATCAACGATAGTGGTTCTCTCCGGGTGTCTCTCGTTAAAGGTGGCTCAGGTGAAGAGATTCAAGACATGATGTGACCCTCTTGTTGGACATCTTTTAGTATAAGCATAGACCTCACTTTGGAAATAGCTGGATTTTCTAGCCTAGGCCCCGGACCATGAGTGATTGTAAGGTTACCAGAAGTCTTATATACCTGCTGCACTGCTATAGGCCCTCCAGCTAATCGATTCAGGGAATGCTTTGGTCGACTTGTTCAATGTCAATTCTTTCCCGATCCACTCTTTGATAATTTCGGGGTCTTATCGCGCCCTTCACCTTTCCCTGTAAGATTCGTGGGAGAATCCTCTTCTCCAAATCCCTCCGTGGATTTCTGGTTTCTTGTCCACAGCCTGTAGGCCGCCTGAGAAATGAATCTACTCAGATGCTAAGATTTCCTCCGCTTGGCGGATGAATTGTGCTGCTGTAGCAGAAGTTCGAGGGAGTGCATTAGTTAATAAAATACGTCTGTCAAGGTGCTATTACAAAGCTTGATAGAAGAGATATATGTCAAGAGGAAACGGGGATATTCTGGTCCCTGGCAGTAATTTCGATTCTGAAAATCGTCAAACCCCGTTGCTCTTCAATAATTCCTCCCCTTGCCAGCTTTGAATCCGGGAAAGGAAACAATGGACATTTTCGTCTCCTGAGCAGCGTCCATGATTTGATATCAAAGAATCGGACGCCTCATTAATCCGTGGAGGGGAAGCAGCTAATCTAAAACAAGGTGGGTAGTTAAACTCATCCTACCAAGTACTAGTAGCCACAACATGGCTCGTTTGGGTTGACGCAGCTATGCATGCTCAATTAGTGATCACTTCGATGGTCTTGTAGTAATATAGAGAGCGCTAACAGGCTTACTAGTACTACGAGAGAAAATGATGCAATAGAAGGGGACTTGGTCTAAGAATATATATACATAAGTAGCCTCGTAAGCCACTAGGACCGATATCTCGGTAGTTGTGTCACGCCCAAGTCGCTTATCCCCAGCTTCAAGATTAAGGGTTCATATCTCAAAGTGTTGGGTAAGTATATTCAATCAGCATTCATCCGCAGCGTCCATGGATGCTAACGAAATTTATCAAGGGGCCCTTAATGGAGTAAAAAAGGAGGGTTTGAGGGCTGCTTTGTTCGGGAGGCCACACGATATCATCGGCATTTTAATGTTAAGTCTGTGAAGCAAGGAGGACCATTCGGGTGAAGCATTGGAACGAATTAGCAAAGCCACTGAAACGTTAGAATGAACAACTGTCATCGTCCAAGCCATTTCTACAGTTTTGGAGACCCGTTCTATACGGGTCATAGAGGCTCAGAGGCAACAAGTATCTTCCAACCAGGTAGAAGAAGGCAGTGCAAGCCGACACACGCAATAATCAGACCAGAATAAGATACTAGAATAGTAGTCTAGATAGGGGCGGTCGAACCGAAAACGGCAGATCGTCGCGAACCATGCGAACGTGAGCAACACGATCAGTCTCAAAATCACCCTCGCCGCCCAGGAATTCTAGGATAAGATCTAGCCCTACCAGACAACCAAAAATGCTATACAAAGCGACTATAGTAATGCCTATGCCACCTTGACACCAAAGGCTCTCCCCAGTACGAGATGTATCCAGAAATGAACTTTTCTGCGATTCTCAGTCATTTCCCTTGTACCAAAAGGTTGTCCAGGGATACTATCAGAATCCAGTAGGTCCAAGTCCAAGAGCGCCAACTCTTGTAACGAGTCAAAGCTCTTTGATGTGAGTCCTTGGACCAACTGTAGCATACTAGGGTGACCAATAAACCCGGAATCACCTGATCCGGAAGCGGGTCTATACTATAAGCAGTTTAGTGCGACTGGCGGCCAACCCCGCGGTGATATCGCGTTCTCTGGGCTTGGGTTTCGACAATCGATTCTACCGGTAAACAAATCATTTTACTGCCCCTATAACCAGAGAAGTCCAAGAAAACCCAATAGCCACTCTTTAGAATGGCCGAAGTAGTGCAATCTGGCCCCGTTGAATCTCAGGCCCGCCATGTCGTATATTGCGGGGGTGAGTCGCCTCTTTTACTCTGTGTGACGCAATGCAGGGATTGTGAATAGATATCACTGACTTGTTCGATTTACAGTTTGCACCCTGCCCCCGGAGGTATGACATCTCTTCACTCGCCGTAATAAGATCTTGAATTCTCGAGCTCTCTTCTTTGTCCTTTTCTCCTGTTCTTCGCTCTTTTTCGTGGATTCGCCCCGCACCGGTGGTTGGGCAGGAAACACCACAACTTTGCAGTTTGACTAACTTTCAATCATCCTAGTACTGTGAGTTTGGTGGGACGGCGAAGAAATGCGAAGAATGGCTGAAAGAGAAACAACCGGAACTATACCAACGACTCCACTCTGAAGGTACAGCAAAACATCACTCCAGCATAGTGTAGTGAAGAACAGACTAATAGGATTGCGTTCCTTTGCAGAAGCCATCAGCGCTAATTTATCGACACTTTCTATATCTGCCCAGGAGCGTGCAGCGAAGGACGCTGCTAAGAAGGAGGCAAAAGCTGCTCTGGCAGAAGCACGCGACGCAGAGCGCAAGGCGGCCTCCAAGGTTCAAATCAAGCGCGTTGAACGGAACAAACGCAAGCACGTCACAGTTATCGCGGGCTTGGAAGTATATGGCCTGGAAAATAAGAAGGTTGCCAAGGATCTCGGCAAGAAATTTGCAACAGGTTCTTCAGTGACCCGGTCTGCCGCGGGGAATGAGGAAATTACAGTACAGGGTGACGTGAGCGATGATGTCCAATTCTGGTTATTGGAGGTCTATGGGAAGGAAATACCAGAAGCGAATATTGAAATCATTGAGGATAAGAAAAAGAAGGGAGGCGGTTAGCCAATGATGAATCATCTTTGGTTGACGGCGTAGACGCATAATGTACAAGTTCAGTGTTGCATATTGGGTATCATGTCAATAGTATACAAAAGTCTCGATAGGTTGTCAAACGAATTCAAGGCTGGCCTTGACAAGAAAGACGGATCACGTTGAGCTCTAGGACTTTGGGAATATCGCCTGCTAGAGCTCGTCGAATATTCTCAATGGATCTTGGTCAGTAGCCCTCGCATCCTCAGGATTAGCAAAAGTCCAGGTTGCCGGGTCAGTAGCGGAGCGGGTATCGTGACGAGAGATTAGCTTCGATGGGTATTGAGATAGCGCATAGCTATCTCCAGGAATATCTGTTGCCAGCCAATGATTCCCACGTTCTTGCTCGTGCACAAGGGCTCCAGTAGAGCCGTTTGTCACGGTCGCTGCTTGCGAAGCCATGTCAGACTCCCGCGACTCCAGGGTAATCCAATTCCGGACAATAAGAGCTACGGCGAGAGTGAGAATTCCTGCCATAATCAAACCCCAAAATATACGGAGGCGGCGACTGATTCGTATCTGGCACTCTACCTCTTTTCTCTCCCAGCGGTCAATTTCTTTCCGCATCTCCTGGAGCCTACAGCTAAGCGCTTCAGCCTTCATTCTTCCCGCTTTCATACGTCCTTCCAAGGCCTCGATCTTCTGCATCTGCGGCTGAAATTCTCTGAGGTCCCCGATTTGCTTTCGAATGTCCTGATCCAGATTCGTGGTCTCTCGTTCAAAGTCTGTGAAGAGTGTCGATGTCGAATCAGAGAGTTCTTGGAAAGAAGCGATCGTGACGTGGAGAGCGGCGAGCTTCTCCAACAAATTATAGTAAGTATAATCGAGCCTGCGGGTGATATCTGTTGCAAGTGTGCCGATTATCGTTAAAGCGGATCGTAGGTAGCTGCCAGCGAGCCCGTTAGATCAACCGGAACGAACAGGGCAGAAAATTACCTACCGTTCCCCTTGTTTCCTCTTCTCTCTCACTTGCTCCAAATCATCTAGCGAGCGTACCTCCTGTCGTCGGATCAAACCCAGGTGATTGTTCCGGTCAATTGCATCGAGTATACTGCCTTTCCTGCTACCAGTACCGAGTCCCGTGGTAGATTCAGATCCCCAGCGCGACCGAGTTGTCTCCCTTGTCACGGGTCTAAGTAACGCAAGTCCATCGTCGGGATCGCTTTCCTTCTCGCGACCACCAGACCATTGGGGTAGTAAGCCCCTGGCACTAGCGGAGGAGGCGATAGGGTTCATTATTCGTGGGAACCGCCCGTCACGGGATTTGCTATGCTTATGCTTATGACGTGGCCTGAATTTGGTAGGATCTAGGCTGGCAGGGTCAAAGGCCAAATGACGGTGATGCTTGTCTCGAGGCGCCCCTGAAGCGTTTTCGCGATCCTTATGGTCATAATGTGTTTGGAGAACTGGCGGTTCTCGGCTGCTGTTCCAGGCAACATAATCACCGTCTCGGGAGTCTGCAAACGGTTCATCGGCGTCGGACGGGACCTGAGTGGGAGTGAGAGTGGGTTTGTGGTTTCCGGCGGTACTAGAGCCATGGGTAGTGAAAGAGTGAGAAGCGGAGAGCTGTCTGGAGGGCGACAGCAACGCGGGCAAAGAGTTTCTCAGTGAAGACTCCATATCTTTTTTTATTTCCTTTTCCCCCGCTCTTTTTTCTGCGTCTCCACCGCCCCTGTTTCTTTGGCCAGAAAGTAAAGATAGTACGGAGTGTGGGAATCTATACTTGTATGTGTCGCCCACAACCTCACTATGTATGTGATTATGCGGAACACCACGCCAAGACTGATCGACGCTTGCCTTCAGCTGGTGTGTCTTAATGTCTCTTAGAATTTCGGAAGGGATCAACGGGCCTCATTTATACTAGTTCGATGGTCTCACATGGAACCATTTCTAGGAAATAGAGAAGACAAATCTGATCACCTATATCTAGTCCCATCTAACTGTACATATCAGGGGAACCGAACACAAACTAGTGAGTGAAACAGCAAATATCGCAAATATCACAAATATCATACGCCCAACTCCTTGTATTGCCATCCAACCAATGACTTGCACCGTAAGCACTGTCTTTTTATTGCCCGAGAACCAAACTTAAGACCGCGGCAAATAAAAAGGAAAGAGCGAATTACCCGCCATACACGCTGAACAAATCATAAACACGACGACGACGATGATGATGATAGGGCGTAAAATAATATAATGATAATAATAGCAGCAGCAGTAGTAGTAGTAGGGTAGGAGGGTAGAAAGGAAAAATAAAAAAGGAAAGGAAAAGGAAATGAAGAAACCAAGAAGATTTTTTCCCACCACAATTACGAGTTGAGCAATTTGTTGCGCTTTTCCTTACGCTTCAATCGTTCGACACGTTTGCGATGCATCTTCTCCGCCATCTTCTCGTAGCGTTCCTTCTCCTCCTTTGCAGCCCTACGCTCCTTGATTCTCTGGATATGCGCCTGTGCAACAATGTCAGTTAGCTCGCACATAAAAGCTCTCAAATCTCAATGGCCATCGTTCCGCATACCTTCCGTTCGGCCTCCTTCTCTTCTTTGAGTTCTCTTTCGTGTTCTTTAACAGCTTCCTGATGCTTGCGAGCTTCCAATCTTTTTTCGTACGAGGTCAGGCCTGCGTTAGGACGGAACGGCTTTTTGGTATCACGCCAGTTTTTTCCTGCGGGTCCAAGGCAGGAAAAATTAGCAGGGCAGGGTGGGATAAGTGGGGAGCGAGAATCTATTACATACCGTTTTTACGCATACCCTTTGTGGGATCAGCCGGAGTGGCCGATACCGTGGAGGACATGGCCAGCAGAAAAAGTAAATAATAGACCAAGTAGAATGGCGCAAAGAAGCGGAACTCGGAAAGGGGCTCTGGGACAGATGGAAAGCGGTTGATATAATTTTGGTTTTCCTCGGCGGAGGGACTGGCCGTTTTGCGGCCTTCGAAATTTTGAGGAAAAAGTTATCTTAGACCGATCAGATAAACGGATCTCGGCGGAAGTCTTCACCCGATGCCCACTTTGACATCTGCAATGAGGGATTTGCCAGCCACGATTCTTACCCGGTCGTTGTTCGAGTTGAAATTATCACCACCACTGCTGCAGAAGCTCCCCACTGTTCCCAAAATCCCGCGTCTTGGCTTCGTTTTTCATCTGCAGGCGATGCTCACTTGCTGATTTTATCGCGCGTGGGTTCGGGCTGACTTAGAAACCCCTCGTTGATTACCACACTACACCGCCCCCTCCTCCTCGCCCCGAAATCTTACCTTAAATACTCTTTCTCTCCGATTCTACACGGAGCCATACAATGTCCTGCCGATAGGGTTTCATCTCTCTCGCTCTCACTTCTCCCCTTCTTTCTTCCCGTTTTCTTGGTTGGATCAGACGTAATTCCCCTCCCTACTCCCATGGCGGCTGCAGAACATGCGATCACAATCAAGAATGATATGTCAATGGAACTCCCTATACTTCCCCCCAATCAGGGGGTTGAGGCGTTTAAGGATATAATCTTCGGGTCCGTAAGTAATCCTGCCTACCGCGCCCAGTAGAGTGCTGCTTGGGTTAACTATTCACCTACAGACAGCAGGAATGGCTGGAAAAGTCATCGAGTACCCCTTTGACACGGTGAAGGTGCGCCTGCAATCTCAACCCGACCATCTACCTCTTCGATACAAGGGGCCAATAGACTGCTTTCGGCAGTCATTTCAGGCGGATGGCTTTAGAGGGTTATATCGAGGTCTCAGCGCCCCTATGGCCGGTGCAGCCATAGAGAATAGCTGCTTGTTCTGGAGCTATCGCATGATCCAAGATGTATTAAAGTCAACATGTTACTCTTCGACGGACCCGCTACCCTTCTCAGCCTTACTGGTCAGTGGGGCTGCATCTGGGTCCATCACTTCACTTGCCCTCACTCCCATTGAACTCATTAAGTGCAAAATGCAGGTACCTCTGGAAGGTTCCAATACCAGAGCTGCCAGTCCACTCTCTTTGGTCGCATCCATATTCCGTCAAGACGGTATCCTAGGATTTTGGCGAGGGCAGCTGGGGACTCTCATTCGAGAGACTGGTGGAGGTGCCGCCTGGTTTGGGGGCTACGAGGGGGTCTCGGCGCTTTTCCGCGCATATCCCACACCCGCCTCGAAAGGCAATTCAGAGCATCAATCGGCTTCCCTCCCGCTTTATCAACAGATGATTGCTGGGGCAGCAGCTGGTATAAGCTACAACTTTTTATTCTATCCGGCAGATACAATTAAATCCCGCATGCAAACAGAAGATATAACTCACGGCTCCATCAATGGTCAACGACAAACTTTCTGGGGCGCCGGCAAAGCTCTATGGAAGCAACAAGGACTCAAGGCTTTGTACCGAGGCTGCGGGATAACTTGCGCACGATCAGCACCCAGTTCAGCCTTCATTTTTACAGTGTACGAAGGACTACGGAGTTATTTTGGATAAACTGCTCTACATTAGACGTACATTTTTCTTCTCTTATGTTGGATGATACCTCTGACCTCGTTTCTCTTCCTTTTTGTTTTTTTTTTTTTTTTATTTTTTTTTGGTTTTTTTATCTTGTTTTTTGGTCTTCTTTCTTGCCACTAGAGGAAAATTTTTTTAACCCTACACACCAATTGCATTATCGTTATATCCAAGAGAACCCATCGGGCGTTGGCATGAGTGTCGAAAACCCTTTTCCATGTTCATATAATCTTTCCTCTTCCCTCTTCCTGAACCCAGTTTCTAGATATTTTGTATAGCTAGTTCATATCTTCGTTACAAGAAAAGGAATCAATGGACCGACTAATGAACATTTTTATACAATGAAATGTTCACCGAGACCTGAAGCTCTCCTTAGGAAATTTCCTTGATTGCCTCCGTAGTTCCATGATCTTGGCCCACCTCATATCTACTAGTACAGTCACCAGACACGATGATAACAGCATAATTGCAAGTGGGGTATGCGCCGTACTAGCTGCAAGCCAAACGACATCAATCTGATAGCGGAGCTTCTTTCCACGGCCGAACTCATACCCCTCCCCATCCCCTCTTCCATAACTCAACTTACATTATTGACCTGTCGCATCCCATTCCTACTGAGACGAATGAGACACTTCAGGCGCCATTAAACATGTCTTCTTCTTCTAAATCTGCTCTTACTACCCAGGAACTCGAGACCCTTGCCTCCAAGGCGATCGCTGCTAAAGCTACGGCCTACTGTAAGTCAGCCGCAACTCATGCATCAAGTAGAGTTTCATCGTTCGTTGCCACTGCTCTATGCACTGTCTGGTTTCTAAGTGTATCTAAAGGTCCGTATTCTAAATTCCGCGTTGGAGCATGTATTCTCACCCTGTCTGGTGAATACATCGTCGGCGCCAATGTCGAAAACGCATCCTATCCTGTTGGCATATGCGCAGAACGAGTGGCCTTTGGCACTGCTGTCGTAAGTTGCGAACTCCGTCAGCCTCGTGGATTGCACGGGGCTTCCCCGCTAACTCAAGATGATCGTTGCAGGTCGCTGGACATCATGACTTCAAAGCTGTTGCTGTCGCTACCGACAGTAACCTTCCAGCGTCCCCGTGCGGCATGTGCAGACAGTTGTAAGTTCGAACCCTCCTCGTCTTGCTCTTTCTTGCTTCATTTCTGTGTCTTCGGTCGTCTCGCCTGATGAGGGCCCGCACCATGGCCCCCTCGAGTATTTTACCGATGCGTTCTTTCTAGCACCGTTTACAGCGCTGACGATAATCATATAGCATGAGCGAATTTACAACTCCCTCTTTCCCCATTTACATGTATGGCTCAGAAGGAACCTACACTATGAAGACAATGCGTGACGTATGTAACCGCCTTGTTAGATGGTTCCTATCATCTTGTCTTTCTTTTTTTTTTATCTATTTTATTTTTTATTTTTTTTTCATATCCAAATGCTCACTGGAAACGTGACACGCCCACTGGTACTGACTCAAGCTCCTTCTGCAGCTTCTCCCTGAATCATTCGGACCGGAAGATTTCTCAAAGGACAGGGTACAGTCTTCATAGTTATTGTGACTTATCCCCAAGCTCCTTGGGGTTTCCCACTGAAGGCTGCTTTTTTGGTTGCCTTTAAGGGGTTTGCATACAACGGCACTGTGATAAGAGAATTTCTGCCACTATTCTTAAGGGAAGTAGACACTGCGCGGACCTACATAATGATCACGTTACATCGTATAAAGCTTTAGGTCAAACCATTATGGTCGACCAGGAAGCTCTTTTCGTTATTAAGGAAGCTGTGCCTCGATGATAAGACACATGAGTACTTAGCTGCTACAATCAAGAGAGCTGTGGAGCTTCCGATTGGCTTCATTTTGTCCATTATGCCCCAGGCGTTACTTTTCGGAGACATTTGCATATGCTATTGTCCTCCTATTCTGTAGGTTCGTCATCCGTCCAAGAGATAACAATAAAGGGGAATGGGAAAGGTGAGAGGGAGAAACAGGGGAGGAAGGGGCAACCTGTTCTAGAGCAGGGTTGATTTGAATCATGGATATGGTGGAGCCCACAACTGCACACTATAAATTCATAACACAGTATACAAGACATACTACTTCCGTAATATAACATAAATCGTAGAATTACCTAGGAGATGACCGAAAGCATCGAGATGTAAAGTAAGCGATCAAGCCTCGTCATCTTCATCCAATTCGGCATCCTCCACGCCGAGAAGCTCATCTTCATCCTCAACAATGCTAGTATAATCGCCTCGGCGCGCTGCAAACGAACCGCGAGATGCGTAGGGCCTTGAATAACCCCTGCCCCGTCCAAGGCGAATAAATCCACTGGCACCCCGCCACAGACTCGTAACTAGAAGCGGAAGAGCTCTGGCTACAGCCACGATGCCTGCCACAATTGCAATCGGCACTGTGACAAACCTTGAATCTCGGGACAGGAATCTCTGCGAGGTGCCCGCATCTTCTCCAAGGCGAATCTGCCCAAACTTGCCATCCCACTTGCTATAGGCATAATAACCGGCAGCTCCTGCGACAGCAAGAGGGGTCATAATGGCAAAGAACAGGCCCACGCCACTTATGCCGTGCTTTTGTTTATATTCCTCCTCCTTGTTAGGACAGGGTTTGGAGACAAAATGGTCCAGATTCAGGCCGCCCTGGCAAGTTGTTTGTGGAATGCGGCGGTATCCGGTTGGCTCCCAGTACTCGATTGTGTCAGGATCCTTTTTACAGACTTCCATAGCATCCGGCTTAGGAAGCCCCGGAACGAGAGCACAGCTACCATCGCTCTGAGGTTCATAGTTGTAATCACTAGCCAACGTTAGTCTTCGCACATTATCACTCAAGGCGCGGGGGAATAAACGAAACAATTACCATTCATAATCAGCTCTCGTGCAAGTACAATTCGCTCCGATGCTGTGAACGTGGGATTCTCGCCAATCGTTCCAACATTGGGCTGACGGCTTTTTGCGATGATATTGTTCACTGTGGCCAAATAGGCAATTATTCTCCTGGAAAGGGTGCTTTGGCTCCCAGATATAATAATCATCACTATCCCCTTGACTTTCATCCAACATGCATGGTCTCGGGCGGACTCCACTGAAGTCAATGTTGAACGTGGCGAACTTATCTTGGACTTCAGAATTAGACACTCTAGCCCAAAGCAGGAAGTTCTTCGAGGTATCGGATGGCACGGTTGAAATATCCTTAATCCGCACTTCTACATCCGAAAACCGAAATTCTTCCCAGGTATCGCCCTCATCGAGACTGTAGTGTATAGTTTTGGTGGGCTTGGACTCGGGCACAATAACAATAACCGAGCCGGAGTCACCATATTCCCACATGTATTTCCCTTTCTTGACGGACTTCCAGCTAATCCCACCATCATTTGTGAGGAACGTATCCGCTTCATCTCCACCGGCTAGATGGTCGCCCACATTACCCACAGCCATCATCAGACCTATTGCAGATCCAGAAGCAAAAGTGTCCCGTTCATCTTTGCGCTCTGTATAGCCATGGAGATGGAGTGAGCAGTCATCCGTGCCTTTCCCTGCTACGACCGAACAGCCAAAGTTTTTGCCATCCGCGTCCTTAGCTGGAGGGGGAAGTAACATCCATTGCGCTCCATCATTATGAGTGATCATAGTCTTGAGCTTTTTTGGCGCTTTCTTCGAGACTTCAGCCACGTTGCTGACAACGTTTACAACAGCCACCCCTTCTAAGCCTTGCATTTTCTCAAAATCGACATAACCCAGACTGTTTCGGTTGACTGCGCCGATGCTAAGAACGTACGATGTCCCGTTGCTATTACTTTTGATAATAGGGCCATATTCACCCCCTTCTGTGCTGCTCGCCGTCACATGCAGGAAAACAGCATGCGTTGAGCTTTCGAGCACGGTATATGCGGTTTGAACAGGCACTTGAACGTTTGGCGGGAATTGTGCTCTTGCGAAAGTCCTACCGTCAACGCTCGTACTAGCTACCAATGAATCAGGGTTTTCTGGCTGCCGCGATGCTACAATGATGAACTCTGACATTGTAGCGTAGTTTATGACATCGACAAATTTGATCTCGTTGCCAATGAAAAAGTCATCGCTCGACAACAATTGCAGTCGACCGTTCTTGTTCTGCTTTTCAAACTGCTCGCAGTATACGAGGTTTGTACTGTTTGGCCGGGTTTCTCTACTTTCGAACTCGCATTTTTGGACATAGCTCAGTAAAGGTTCCCAGTTCTTACCATGCCCTTTTTTGATAAAAGCGTCCGAGTGGCAGTTACCGGAGTGGCAATCCACGGCACCGGTCCAGATTAGCCGATCCTTGTGCACTGGGTGGAACGCTATAGTTTGCAGGAAGCGATCCTGAGTGGGCGGAGCCGGAGCCTGAAATGGTTTGAAAGTATAGCCACGATCTTCAGTCCAAAAGCCCTCTTTGCCATCGGTAAGAAGGAAGGCCACGTCGCTGCTATAAGGGTGCAGATAGACTCTGGTAATTTCTTCTCCCTTCAGCGGCCTTTCCCATGTCTTGCCATGATCATGCGTCACATAGACCTCGTGCTCACTGTTTAGCATTATGATGGTTTCGTCACTGCCGGAGCTACTGGACTGTCGTTCTAAATAATAATACTGCGCGTAGTCTCTTGCATCGAACAACTGCAAAGTCACCCCAATTTTGCCGTCAGTCGGGGGACTACTGGCGTCCTTGCAGGACCTTTCAATTTCTTTGTCCAAATTTTCGCCACCATCTCGAATGCAAACATTTCCTGGGATGAGCCTCCAGCCCGATGGGCCCATGAATTTATCATCAGGTCTTTTGCACTCGCCTTCCGGAGGAGTTAGTGGGGAGGGAAGGACACACCCTGTCCCATCTCCGGTGCGCCTGTATTCACACTCGAAATCCTCCGTTGTGCACTTGCATGCTTCAAATATCGGCTCCGGGTCCTTAAATTCCTCGTCCACAAAACAGTTCGCGTTGGCCCTTCTGCGCCTGTAAAATTGTTTATGACCCATCAAACAATCTGGTTCGCCATGTTCGTCCAGTCTAGCGGGCCATTTCTCAAAGTCACCATCGTTGCATTTCCTCTCATGGAGGCCATTGAAGTCGATCGAGTAAATGACATGTTCACCATCTTGACCTTCCTCTAAGGAACCAATAATAATAAATTTCAAACTAGTGGAATCGGGTGTGGTGGTAACCATTGTGGGGAAAATCTTATGCAGGAGCTCGACAGACGCCCATTCCTTGCCATGATCAAGGGAGTAATTGATCTTTTCCACTTTACCCACATCACGCACCGCTATAACAACGGCACCCTGATCCCCAAACTCATACTTGTGGGGATGCTTGAGAGCACGGCGCCAGGTCACTCCCGCGTCATCTGAGATATAGAGATTGCATTCAGCGTATTCTTGGAGATGTTTGCCGGTATTTCCTACACCCATAACTAGCCCCGGTGCCGGGCTTGAAAACACCCGTCCTATATTTGTAAGCGCAGTTACAGAGTGAAGATGCAGGGTTTCCCCGTCTGACTTCAAGGGCTGAAATGTCCTGCCATCGTCAAAACTAATTCTGCTGGTAATCTTCTTTCTGGCGGAACCAGATTCGACTTCCTCTGGATTCTGTACGGTGTTGACCAGCACTATCCCTTGAATACCAGCAATCTTTTCAAAGTCGACCATGCCTTCCGAGTTACGATTAGTGTGTTCAATATTGCGGGTGAAATAGGTGCCATTCGAGTTTGAAGTAAAAAGCACGCCCATGCCACTTCTTGGACTAGTCAGAACATCCACCTGAAGGCTGTAATTTGTACTCTCTAGCATCGTGTACGCATCCTCCTCTATTCGATGACCATCGAACTCTGCGCGGTGCCAAGTTTTCGCATCAACTGTCACGTACAACGCGAGCTCCTCTGTCCCTTTAGATTTGGCCGCGGCTACTATGAATTTCTTAACTGCAGCGGTGCTAATGACCCCTGACACAGGGCGTCCTTCTTGGAGCTTGGTCTCCGTGCCTTCGGCGTTGCCCCTAAAATAGTCATCAGAGTATACAAGGCGATTGGCGTGTGGAAGCGGCACTTTCAAACCCGGGACGACACAGAACGAACGGTCCTTAATCTCCTCGGCCAAACCAACATCTTCAGCAAATTGCGGGTGTCCCACCGCCCAAGCACATCCACCAGTGCTCTCACGCAGCAGGTTGACTGTAGCAAAGTCATCTGTCGTGTAGTATGACCTTACAATGCAATACCGGCCTGCGCATTCCTCGCCCTGGAATATCACTTTGCTAGAGTCCCCGCCATGGAACACGAGGGGGTAATGCCTTATCGCCGGAAATTCGGCAATATTAAATGATGTCCATGTTTTCGCTTGATCCGTTGTAACCCAGTGACGGCCGTTGGGCCCCAAGGCGTAGGCCTTTCGATTGTCATATGGGTGCTGTCTGATTAAAAGAACATGATGTCTCATGCCACCGTCATCGCCCTCAACAACTGACCAAGTTTCGCCTGCATCGACTGACCGAAGCAGATCGCCATTGACCGTGCTCATAAGAACAGTGTCCGTGTCATCGAAGTAGAAGAGGGCACTCGGTTTATGATCGATCTTAGTCGGTGGTGCAATTTTTGGCAAACTTGACTTTGCAACACCGTGCTGGGCAAGGAGCGCCAATAACAGGCAGCTCACTAGTAGTAGCCATCGAGAAATCATGACCGTGACTCTTGAAACATTTGAAAGAACGCACACAAAGGCTTATGCTTCGGTGAGGAGCTGTTTCTCCGATGACGTTTGGGTGATGCGGGAGGAAGAATGGAGTGGTCGAGTTCAAATACGCGCTACCTAATTTGTACTGGATAAAAGGATAGTAGATGGGTAAAGTTTCAGGGCCGCAACGCGAATGGCTTCAAACTAAGAATGTAGTGCGTGGTGGATAGCTGCGTGGCCTCAGAGGGAGCTGCATGGTCACGTGTAAAGATTGCTTATCGAAGCATTAGCTTTTTATTTTTGCCAATTGACCGCCTAAAAAGCAGCATTACCATTCAGTATCCAACCGTGATACGTATTGAGCTTATAATAGTAATCTCGACTATGGGATGAGCATCCGCGCAATCCTAGAAAACAACTTGCTAGTTCCTGTTCTGAAGTTACTGGTGGCTACCGAGGGGGGTTTACTAGATTCTTAAGTATAGAAGGTACAGTACTGTATCTTATTTCCGATTGGGCTGGTAGGAAAAGCCTATTCATGTATGTACAAGCAATACTAACGGGCACCGCTAATTGATGAAAAGTTCAACAAATCATTAATCATAGGAGTAAAGAAGAAGGTATAAAGGACAAAAAGCTCAGAATTTCTGTTTCCGAAACTTACGCCACATTTTCCTCATCAACCCTTGCTCGTCCTCACTGGATTCCCACATGTGGGAACCGCTATCCTCCAGTGGCAGCCTCTGTGGGTCCACCCCGGGTGGCACCGTCGTCCGAAGGTCGGGTCTCGTCAGCGTCATCTTCAGAGTCATTTCGCGGTTGCTACCGGCATGCTGCTGGTTGCCAGGCCTCGGTGGTAGCAACCGTGACTGGTGTCTGAGATTTGGGCATCCGAGGTCTGATGAGCGAGAATTGTGCACATACGAGAGTCGAGCTACGTTCATTCGCTTATCGCACCGTTCGTCTGAAAAAGGCGAATCCTCGTCGTCGAGGAACGTGCCAGCAAACATTTGGGGCTCCGTTTTGCGTTCAGCTGACATGGTTCTCTCATTGTTTTGAGCCGGAAAACCGAACTCAACAGCTTCATCAAAGTTTTGCGGGGATGCCAAGTAGACCCGCAGTTTAAGGCGGGCCTCGGGGTCCTGGTAATATTGCGCCGATGGATCGATACTGGACGTGGAAGATCGAGGCATATGAGCTTGACTTTGGCTCGATGACGGTCGAGAACTTGAATTACGAGCCGTGATATTCATCGGCGCTGTCGGAAATGTCGACGATCGACGCACGGATTGCGCTTTTTGATGCGACACTGCCGATGTTAGTTTGCGGGTTGAAAGGTCTGGATTAAATGATAGCGCCGTTCGAAAAGAAGGCCGCCTTCGAGGCGGCAAATTTGGCATCGACTTGGCAACATGCGCGTGGTACTCGTCCAGCCTTAGGTCAAGATCTCCGTCCTCTTCAAGCCAGCGGAAGTTATCGTAGAGCGAGTTGTCCATGTCGGTATCAGAACCCAAATCCGAATCAGAGAAGTCGAAGTATAAGGTGGATGACTGTGAGGTTGCAATCGAGTTTCTGTCCGAGGATTGAATTTCAGGAGGCTGATGCCGGGAACGTCTTGCCTTCTCCAGCGGGTAAGGCGGTTCACCGGCAACATCAAAGAACCAAGCTTCAAACTGCGTGCGGTGAAACCAATTCTGTTCTTCTTTCGAAAAGAGCTTCTGCTGGATTTTAGGTGGCAGTGAATGAAAGCATCGCGAGTCCACTTGGACGGCAAGATGGGCCAACTGGAGCGAGTCGACTTTGCGGAGCTTCTTAGTCGTGTTTAAATAGGAAGACTTGTGCGGGCAGCACTTCCTGTTCTTAATGAGGGATTTTATGGAGGATGTCGGATAAGAGCGACCCTGAAGGATACAAAAGGGGAGGCGGCGAGGCACTTTAGCCAAGCGGCGTTGATAGTTAATGCCATCCCAGCGATCACCTTGGGCTAGACGGAGGCGTTCGATATTGGAGAAGAACTATGATAGGGGATAAGGAGACCATGTTAGCCACCAAGTTCTAAGTGGAGCTCGTAGGAACCATTTCTTTAGAGTATTAAGTAGCCATGGCGCGACTCCAGCGCCCAGTTCACACCATAGATAAATAATAGTTCGGCAATTCGACTCCAGTAGTGCGAGCGCTAGTGGAATCCATCCGCAAATCATCCGACTAGTACTCTGTATAGCAACTTGGATCCGAACATGGGCCAAGCCGTTGCTCCTAGAGTAACGCTAGAATGATAACTAGAGGGTCCCGCATCGTCCGCCATTTGAATCCGAAAGAAAGGGATGGTGGGAAAGGAGGCGTGACAGAAGCCTAAGGAGATGGTGGTTTGGAACAGATGGGGTGGGGTGAAGTCAGGGCAGTCGCAATAATACCCAAATCAATCCGGAATACATGATCTAATAAAGATCTTCTCTTCACATACCTTTCGTTGCAAAGCTGGAGGCAGAGATTCAAAATCCAATTCCTCATGTGCTTCTGCTTTCATCTTTTCCCGTTCCCTTCTCTGTCCGCTTCTTTCAGAACGCAATTTCAAATAACAAGATAAGCAGAAATGTCAGGGGTACAACGGAGGAATGCAGAATATCAATATGGGTAGTAGTTAGTATATATGAGCACGTTGCACTGCAGCTGTGCCCAATTGCCTGAAAAGCTCAAGCATGCATGGCATTGTGGGAGTTTGCATTCCTTTTTAAAGCAAGAAAAAAAGAAAAAAAAAAGAAACTATGTTCCGGTGATGTTATAGAACATTCATCCAGGGGGGCCTCGTTCCCCAATGGCAGGTAGAGTGCCTACTATACAGAGCCCGCTTTCATCCCAGCGGTAAAAATTGCACCACCAACAGACCGTCCAGCAAAAAGTCCCCACTTTCCCCCTCACACAGGAATCATATCAAGCTACTTAGTAGGTGTGAGTAGGCGCTAGCATAGAGGATTGCAAGCAGAGCTCAACGTTGGTTGGTTCGCCCTTTCCCATGCGCGTGCGCGCCCATAGCACTAGCACTTGTACAGCTCATCCTATGGGGATGACCAGGCCAAATTCTACCAGCTGGTGACCATCTTAGCTAGTACTACCTAATGGTTTCAATGCTCATACTTATCTGTCATTGGATGGTGTTTCTAGTATCTTTTCTCGGCGTGTCACATCGCACGCACACATAGCAGAACGAATTAGAATAATGTGACAGCGGTGATACCAAAACTTCTCTTCCTTCTTAGCGCCAGGGTGGATACCTACTCTACTTACTCTGCTTACTCTCCCATCCATGGTATGGTACATGCTTCTCCACTCTGCTGCGACTTTCATACTTCCCACTAAACGCACTGTATATCCGTCATGTAACGATTCAAAGAAAGCTATATATGTATAGGGAATGGTTATTTGGACCTCACGTTAAGCCTATATAGGGAAGTTAAGCGAGCCAAATAACTAAAAAAACATGCTGGTAGTTAAAGCCCTTTCAAATTCAGCTTATATAATATCCTATACAAATCAATGTTGATTAGTATATTCTTTTAAAAATAAAATAAAATATTATTTTTTTTTAAATACTTACTTCTACTATTAACAGGATACTAGTTGATAACTTAGGATCTCTCTATTCATTACCTAGATTAGGTGGGTAGCGAGGTTACTATATATCATTGAAAAGATTATAGATATAGACACTGATATTGTTATACAGCAGATCTCAGAGAGTGGAGTTCTATATTCCTATTCTAGAATATTCCCGCTTACCAATACATAGTCTTACACTTTCCTATATAGGCTTAATGTGAGGCCCAAATAACAATTCCCTATGTATATATTTATGTATATTCATATGTGTGTGTGAAACAAAAGGTATTGCATTGGAGAGGATAATCTAGGTATATATAGACTCAGAAAGACAAGAAAGCGCGTCGGGGAGATGATCAGTAATTGATTATCAGATCCAGATATATTCTGATTGTACGCCGGGACTCGGCTAATACCTAGATGCAAAATACACTCTATCAGTAGAAATGGTAAGATTGAGAGACTTATATTCAGGTGGCATATGAGACCAAGTATTCAAGGATGCGCATTTTGTATGTTACACTATACTCGTAGTTATTGGTGGTATCGAAAAAAGAAGGCATATATCTCTTATCTCTAGTATATACTATCCAGTCACGGTTACACTCTAGGAGAGGGCATATGATGCTCACGTGCAAGGGCGACAATAATAGTATAGAGACCACGGCTGAAACTATAACTCTGTGTATTCTTTGTCTAGACACGGTGATCCCCTGTGCACACTCAAGTCCCCATGAAAAAGCTAGCTAGGGGTGATATAACGATCGATGGGTGTCATGCAAATTTGGGAATCTGTCTCTGCGCTTCGCCGTGGGGTAATCTTGTTAGTTTTAGCGGGCATGGCAGCTACACAACGGTCACCTTCTCTGTGGGGGAAGCGTTGTGTACCACAACTGGGGCAAGGGCTTCATCCCGTTGCATGGCAGCTCGCATGGAAGCAGAGCTCTTCAAGTTCTTACAAATACAGGAATAAACAAACTGGTCGGGCGATACGAAATGATTTACAAGCCTTGAAAAAGTATTTCAACACAAGAAGAGCTGACGTGGAAACAAAAAAGTCATGTCAGGTTACCTGCCATGCAAAGTCCCTAGAATAATGGGGTATCCCGCAAACAAGCTAGCCTCAAAGGACACTGAGAACATTCTGCATCGCAGCTGTGTTGGAATCCTCTCTTCGAGAGACATAAGCCCGGACTTCTTGCACACTGAGGCCAGCTTCGACTTGTCCACCTCCCCCAGCGCCTCTCCCAGAACTTGTCCCAGTATTGTTCCCAGGTCTGCTGCTGCTACTCGCAGCGCCGCTCCAAACCCTTTCTCGTAAAGCCTCCGAACCTACAACAAAAAGGTTACCAACCTCCAGCAAGACATCCAGCGCGCCGCCAGGGCCCTTGATCTGCTCGTCTATGTCCCAAGACTTGAGCAGATCTGTGTACTGTGTCATATCCTTAGTGACCATGAGCCCACCAGGTCCATTTACCGCGAATCGCTTAAAATGTTCCAGAAGTAAGCTGCGGGCTCCCATGGCTATCTCCGTTAGCAATTGTCGCAGATTAGAGCCACTAGGCGGTAGTGATGTTGCCGCCATGTTATGTACACGAGAGAGAAAGGTGCAAATCGATGCACAAGTCTAACCGTTTATCGATTAGTATGGCATATCCTAGTTACCAGGCGATCATCCAACTAACCGGTGTCTGCAGCTTCTCCAACCAAGCTGCATTGTCTCCTTCCTTGGGCCGAAAATCATTCTTCCTCTGGCTAGCAAGAAGCTTATTAATCCACGTCAAAGAAGCGTCAATGATTTTCTGCTCAATCGTATTGACTTTCTCCTCGATTCGCATAGTTGTCAAGTTTGTCTTCTTTTCCATTTCTCGGCGAGCAGTGATGCTCCCGGTTGCTAGGGGAATGAGTAATGTGTTTATGCACATAACCATCAAGTTTGCAATGCCGATTGCGTTCCGGACCGCTGGGAGGTAAGCAAAATCAGGCTCCGTCTTTCCTGATTCTTGTGACGTCGCCATCTCCAATGCGGCATCGAGACCAACCTCAATGTAACCTTCTCCCATCATAGAAAGGAGAAGAGTCAACAGAGCCAGCATGTCCTTGGGGGTTTCGCTGCTTACGCTTAGCTCCAGACCCCGACTAACTGCCTCAGCAAGCCATTTGAGCATTCGTTTGGCGTGTGATATGCTCGGAAGGCCATCCTCTTCGGTAAGTTTGATTTCGGTTCGTCTTATGTCATTGGCATCCCTCAAGCCCGCCACCTGAAGTAACATCCTTCGCTGTGTCGGTGAGTAATCCGAGGACTCAAGGCGATTGATGTACGCATCCCGTGCAGAAGATAGAAGTTCAGTACCCGACTTCGAAAGAGATGCCATAAAGGTAGTTGCTGCCTTCTTTCTACGTGCATGGAACGTGGTGAATTTGAAAAGCAAAGATGTGTACAGCTCCTCCAATGTTTTCTTCTCCCTCTCGATATAAGAGGAACCGACAAAGTATGGCACGAAGAGATCTTCCAGCTGTTGATCGAGAATCAATGCCGTCTGAGCGGAAATGGTATCGGGGTGTTCGGTTAAACCATGAGCCTTTAAATCATCGACTAAAGCGCTGATATAACTGCGGGAGCTCTGTAAGGAGCGTAAGAAGGCGAGCGATGAGATGCTGTTGGCCTTCTCCAGCACCATCTCAAGTCTCTGTTGGATGGATTGCTGGAACACACGCTGCAAAAACTTCCCGAGGACCTGTTCGTAGTAAGGGAAGGCTCGCTTTATAATAGCTGATTCCTCCTGCACTACAACCTTAACCTCGTCGATGAGTGACTGAAGACTAGGTTCCACCTTTAGAGGCTCCGAATCCGGGTCTGCGAGTTGTTCCCAAGCTTCTGGATCCCCACCTACTTCTTCTGTAACCAACTGACTTCGATCGATAAAGAACTGGTGCTGATTGACAAATAAAGCAATAACACTAGAGCCCCCATTGAAATCCTGGAGCACAGTTGCACAATCCTTCATACCTTCAAAGTTTGCCTTACGATAGAAGTCGTCGAACTGTTTCAAGAGATCCTTCTCTAACGTCTCTGAAAATTTCTCAATGATCTCCCTTGTATTTAGTCTGGTGAATCCTGTCTCTTCAAGCGTACCCTCTTCTGCAGCCCCATTCCCGGACGGCCCATTGTTCTTTCCTCCCGAGTCGTCCCAGCTTTTCGGATCAAGCCTTTGGCTGATCCTCAGTAACTGCCGCGCTATCTGTGCAGAGCGAACTTTAGCTTCACCAGCCCCGGATCTCCTCAAGTTCTCCAAAAGTGTAAGTTCTCCCTTGTTACTTACGCTATCCCAACACTCAAGGAGAAAGTGGGCGTCAAGTGCTCGGCGTCTTTGTCGGTCAAGCTCTTCCAGCTTCCGACCTGTTTCAACAGCCATATTACCGGTAGATCCTGAAATTTCGCTCCCGGTATGCCCAGGCCCAGCACCTGTCCCATTAAGCGACGTATCAAGTTGTTGGAAAGATTCAATGGTCTGTTTCAGCTTCCTGCCAAGTGTATTGATATTCTGTGAGTGCTGAGCCTCGGCTCGGCGGACTGCAGCCGAAAGCTCATTCTCTTTGATCTCTAAGTCACCAGAAAGTTCACCCAGTCTCCTCTGTGCATTTTCGAGGGTCCGAATAAGTGGTTTGGGATCGAATAATTGATTCCCGGTAGTGGGGCCTAGCGTAGAGCGACGGTTTGAAATGGCACTGTCAGAAAGTGCTTCGATGAACTCTTTGACTATAAAATCGCGGCTCGAAAAGTCCTCAAGAGTGAAACTGGGGCCCTGAGGGAAGACAGATCGCGACGTGGGATTTGTAGAGGTAATGGACGCACTATCCGGCATCATTCTAGCTAACGGCAAGGCTTTGTCGGCATCGGGCTATTAAACGGTGTAGTTTTGATCACGATGTTTATACGCTGCAGAGTAAGATATATGCTCGTATGTAGAACCGTGAACTGCTGGTGGGTGTGGGAAATGGAACTCTTTTCTTAGTTTCACCTCTAGGGAATGCAGGATAATAGCTTACTAGTAGTATTAGTATGGAGTCTGGGGCTTTAAGTGCTGAGTAGGTTCGAATGCGTAATTGCGTTTCTCTCCCGTAAATTACAGCATAATTAAAGGAGAGGCCTGCTTGTAACAAATAGGTCTGACTCCGCAGGTGTACTCAGTGAGATCCATGTAGTCTGACTGTCTTGTAGAAATGATACCTACGACCAATGTAATTCTCAAGAGGTTAGCAAATCCCATACCGTAATAAGGTACCACATTACCACTCGTCGTATGTACAATATGTTCGTGTAGTAATCCGTAACCTGTACATGTATATACAACCACGTAGCGTATGTATGTATATCACATGCATATAGTATGCTCCATATCTACTACATCATCTTCCCCAAGCATATTATAAGAATCAGATGGAATGCCACCAATGTCCATCCACAATGGTTGGGTTTGCATTTGTTTACGACCACTCGGTTGTCATTGTGGCAATACACTGTAGGTCCCGTACATCTGTACATACTCCGTACCATACATATTTCAAGCGGATTATACGGAATTGATAAGAGTGGGAATATGGACGAGTAAATCCACTTGGTGACTGAGCTGTCCCATTAGTACTGTAAGGGTCTATGGTTGCCTAGACCTGTAATGTTAAACGTAGTCATCCACGTTGTCTTTGATGATACTTTGCGTAAGGAGATACTTAGAAAGACAAGGCGCACTTTGATACCTTCCTACCTGCTCACACTGACCACTTCAGATTCTCGGCACCACTAATTGATCCAACAAACACCTGGCAGTTTCATCTCAGCTCTTTCTCGAGCATTTGCATCTAAAACTATGGTATCACAACGGGATAAAGAGCTGTTCAGAGATGACATTCGTGCCCGGGGAACAAAACTTAGTGCTGCTGATCGTGAGAGCCTGTTGAAACCATACCTACCAGACCCCTCGGAGCTTCCACATCGGCCACCGCAGCGGCGCAGAAAAGCATCGCCCAGGAAGACACCTATCCGGACTTTCCTGAAGTCGCAACTACACCAGCTGACCTACACTCTCATTCACATTTTCTTTGGTATCGTCATTCGCCTTGTCCAGAGCTATCATGCCGTTGTGGATAGGGTGTTTGCCATCGTCTATTATCACCATCGCACTCCCGAATTGATCCGAAAGGATGTGAAGAATTTGGATCGCTTACCGGAGCATTTGAGTGTTATATTGTCACTGCGGCAGGAGGAGGATTCTTTAACGATTTTAATGGATGAAGTGGCAGAACTTGCTGCGTGGAGCGTCAGTGCTGGGATCCCTGTGCTAAGCGTTTATGAGAAGAGTGGTGTGTCTGTCCCCTACGAATCGAACCAGTGCGAAATAATCTTCCTAACGAGCTATTATGCCTAGGAGTCTTAAAATCATGCATTCCCACACTGCACCGCATCGTTACAAACAAGCTATCTGCGTATTACGGCTCTCCTTCCCAACAGCCAACGTTGCGACTTTTTGCCCCGCATCACCCTGTGTATCAACCACAGGACGGCCACTCAACTGAAAAAGCCAATACTGATTCTCTGACTGTGCTTCTGCTGTCAGCCACCGATGGCCGGGAGACATTTGTGGACTTGACCAAGACGCTTGCGGAAATGGCCCAGAATGGAAAACTATCGCCAGAAGATATCACAATGGAATTGGTTGATGCGGAGATTAGCGAAATCACGACACAGCCATCTCAGACATCGTTACCGACCTCCACTGAGAACAAAACAATATCTATTCTGGACGTTTCAGTAAAACCAGAACCTGATTTACTATTAGTGTTCAGGCCCTTCTTGAAATTAGATGGGTATCCACCCTGGCATATTCGACTTACAGAGATGTATTGTACAGGCGACAAGAGCAACAGCATGACGGGATATGGGGAGGCAGTTGAATATCAGGGCTTTCTTAGGGGTCTATGGCATTATGCAGGGGCTCAAATGAGGTTCGGGCGTTGAGCCTTCTCTCCCTCATGGCTTTCTTTTCATACTCACCTCTTTGTGGCTGTTGGAAGGGCCTAAATCGAGGCTTCATATCAAGCGTCAGATCGTCCCTTGATAAAAGACTTTGGGAAGATGGTCTCAGAATAATGTACTACACCTCCAATTCCCGCAGGCCATATACATGTTTGATGTAAATTACATGCGCCTCCAATGAAGTATTCATAATTCTGTAATTCTTATACTGTAGAATGATCCAGGACCGTGGGCATTGTACATTTATATACAGCAAGTCCACAATTATCTCCATTAACTCTGGCATTAGCCGCTGTAGGGTAGCTTGGATATATACCATTCCGAACTGGTTGGTCCAAGTGGAGTATGTCGAAACATCGGTGCTGCGAATAACAAAGGGATGCCTTAATCAATTGCTTAGTATGGTCAGGATACTGAGGCATTCTGTCATGTCAATTCGTCTAGTTGTCAAGCGGATTAGATCATCTGCCTATGAGTTGAAAGTTACAGATCAGCTTTGAGATCCTGATGGAGCGAACCCCGAGCTCACGAGCATTGTTCTCCAAATGTAACATGATGACAGTGCTGCTTGTCTCTGCTGGCCTATAGGGTGGATCTGTCAGTGTGATAAATGATCACGTACACAGTCCAAGCATCGGACCACTTCTATTCCTGTTTCTGTCACTCCTTCCACCGCACAGCATGAGCATATCTTCCTCGGCTGTCTGATATGTGATTTATTCTTGCCTGTGTCGTCTTGTAACCGGTTCGAAACATTTTTGAACAGCTGGCTCTCCCCGAGCAGATATGTGGAGCCACTGCAATGAACCGCATCGCATTGGCGGAGACAAATATAGCAGCTACGCTCACCGCACAAATCACAGTCGGCATATGCATCAAGTACTTCTTTGGTGGTTGGCCTTCTGTGACAGATGTGACACGGTCGTAAACATGAAGCAGGTGCACAAGTATTATGCTGCGAGTGAGGACTCGGAACAAGGGTTCTAGGAGAAATAGGAGGGGACGAGACATTAGAGGATCCGGAGGTACAGATATTTGGTGATAACATATTCACCTGCGCTATGCTCGACTCTGGCGGCTGCGTGAGATTATTCGACCAGGGCTCTGTACTTTGTGGATGGATATACGGCTGTTGAAGAGCTCGTCGTTTTCGGGGAATGCATCGCTGGCGAGCAGAGAGCTCTACGTTGTCACCGGACAGGTTGGGACAGCCTAAACAAAACGGGGCGCTTGATGCATGAGATGTTGTCGGAACAAACTTGGTGCTGTAAGATATATCCTTCAGATTAGTTAAATTTCCCAGTCTATCGGCTCACGTCAAACCCTCGTCGTTTTGTTTCCCTTTTTTAGCTTCTTTAGCCGTGCCCCAGGTGCAATTGTCCTACTTACGTATTGGGTATATGAACAGCGTCTGACACGGTTGGATCCCTCTTTCGCTTCTTTAGTTGCGGATTTAGAATAGACATGTTGTCTTGCTCAGGCATGATACCGCACATGGTGGAATGGGGAGCTGTTGTCGAGAAGTATATGTCCATCGGAGAAAATACCTAGGTGAAAGGCTAGAGAGCTGCAAATGGGGAAATGAGGTAAGCATTCCTGTGCGAACGGAGAGAAACAAGATTAATGGAATGAAAAATAAATTGGGTGCCTTTTTCAAGTCGACGTACGTGGTGCGCTGTAGGTGATGGATGTAGCGAAACGACTTGAGAAGTAATCTAAAACAGACCTCGGGGGGTTTAGGCTTGGCGTCAGGTACGGGTAAAAAGATCCGCTGTGTTTCAGCTCTAATTCGGCAGTTGTATGTATAGTACTAAGAAGGTAGAGTAGTGGTTCATTACGTACTAAGATTAATTAAATACAAAGTACGGAGTAATCCAAATATTGAACAGATAATAATTTTACATGGTACATATGTGCATGTACTTACTAGTACATAGTACATACGTTAACCAGCTGTGTAACGTCTATTACAGCACCTACTGTAGTAAGGGACGTAAGATGTTCGTGTAAAGAGAATACAGGAAAAGCCCAGTAGTTAGAAGTGCTGCTGCGTTTCTTGAAGTGTAAGGGTGAAAGTCCCTTCGAAACTACGTGGCAGTGTTGAATCATCCAGTGACTGCTTATTCACCTGCTTTCACGCTGTTAGCCTTTCTATTCATACAGTTCAACAAGTAATCCTTTAGTACATACTCCATAGTCATAGTACTCAAACTATGTACCACCATGCATCCATTTTAAGTACGCCCATGTGGGTCCTACTATGTTCTAGATGGAGTACGTACCTCTTAAGTTAGTCTAGTTACCACTCCTTACCAGCCATTTTACCTTATTCTTAGCTCGATCAACGAATCCCTGATTTGGGCGCCTGTCCTCTTATCCATCAGCCCTCTCTTGAATTTCACCCCAAGGAGTGTGTATACCGTTGATATGTCTGTCGCCTTCAACGATCAACGACATTACCCATCCTAGGAAATAACCCCCGTGACGCAGAAGCGGCTTTTCGACTCGCCTTGTCTGTACAATCTAGTGACTTTGTTGGGGTCATCGACTAGGGAGAGCTGTGGCATCATCGCGATGGAGAACAACATTTCCGAACTAGTTGAGAGGCTAGGGAGCGACGAAGATGCGGTACGAAAAATGGCAGTCTTCAAACTTCAGAGTAGCATTGGCGACCCATCGTTTGCCGATATCTTCATTGCAGAAGGAGGCCTAACTCGACTACGGTATCTGAGTTTACATGCCAGTGGAAACACGCTGGCCTATAGCCTCACGAGCTTTGCCAGACTTTTAGAAGTGGACAAAGGGTGGGAGTTCGTCGATCAAGAAGTAGTTGAAAGAGTATGTCGTGGGATTGGCGCGCATTAATCAAGGCTCTGTATCAGTCAATACTCATGCTGATAAATGACCCTACCCCTTTTAGATTGTCGAACTTATAGTGACCCATCCTTTGGTCAACATTCTACGTGGCGCAATGTCTATCCTGGTTTCCATTGTATCGCACCCTTATACAGGTGGTCGCTTGTCGCAGAATGGGACTTTCGGCTTTCGTGCTTTGAAACCGGCCATCGCTCTCTATCCGCAGTTTTTGGAAATGCTTGTTAGCAGGCTCTCATCGGCTGACCATGCGCTTTGCGCCAATGCGCTTCAACTTATAAATTCGCTTATGCGCGACTCAATCACGAACGACTCCGAATTGGAATGGCCCAAGTTCATCCAAAGACTACAGGACCTGGGTGTGATTCGAGCAGTTTATGCCCTCATGCAAGGTAGCGCATTACAGGATCATGCGCATCCTCTGATCGAATTCCAATCTTTAACCAAGGTTCTTCTAAGGAAATGGAGAGATATCGCGCTAAATTTGGAAAAGCCAGAACATAGACGAGCACTTAAAGGGATACACTTGGCCAGTAACTGTGAACGGGATCCTGAAACGGGAGCCGAGAGTGGTAACGAGGCTCGACGTTCAAAAAGGCTCAACCCAGAAAAATGGCGCCGACTGGGGTTCGAGTCGGAGAACCCTACCGTGCAATTCGAAACCATGGGTTTTCTAGGGATGATGGATCTCGCGGATTACATCAGAAACTACCAAGATGAATTCCAAAAATTGCTTTTAGAGCAGTCGACGAAACCGGCGCAGAAGCGGTGTCCCATAGCGCGTGCTTCTTTGTCTGTCACACAGATCCTCTACGAGCATTTTGAAGTTGATAAGTCAGAGATGGAGGATGCGAAAAGTTACCTGATATTGGAGTCTCGCGTTAATTTTGACAAAATATTCAAACCTTTACTGTTACATTGGACCCGCCTACATGTTGCGGGCCTACATGCCTTTTTCCGATTATGGAAGGTCACTGGCGCGGAAGTGGAAGATTATGAGAAAATCGTGGAACTTGTTCGTATCCTTGTCGAATCAGTTGTTGGGGGAGCACCACGAACAAAAGATGTACAAGACGTGGAGGACGACCTAGCACAATTCGAATATTCCCGGCTCCGCGAGCTACAAATGGAACTCTTAGAGCTTACCTATGAAGATGTTTGGGGGCAACATTTACGGCAAGTGCGCGAAGAGCTACACCATGAAGCCTTACAGTTTGTCAAGGAACAGAGAATCAGATGTCTATTGAAAGGTGCTTGGTTTCCTAACGACGGCAGTTCCAAGGCGGACATGATGGTATCGGGGGATCCCAGCTGGAAATTTGTCCGGCTCTCACATAACCGAAGGATTTTGCATTTTGGACATTTCGATGGTGTAAAAACAAAGTGCCCAGAGCTTGATGCACTTCCAGAGAAGCGTAAGAATGCTCTCTTGCTTTTAGCTCCCCCACGTCATTGCTGTGCTAATCATCTGTTACTCTATCAGTCGATCTCTCAATTGTATCTTCGGTAGTTTCCAATGTTTCAGCGACCTCCGACGACTCCTCGTCATCGACGGTCAAGAGTGTGTCGCATCACGTCTCTGCTACCAAGATCACTATTCATGGCCATGCTCAGTCTAGTTCGTTCTCAGATGACTCAGGGAAGATCGAAGGTCATGCACGCTCAACCAGCAAAGCAACTCACAGGGAAGCAGCTCTATTGACTCTGCGGCCACAATCGCCAAGTATCGCATCCGAGTGGCTTGACGGCTTGCTTATGCTTCTAAACCAACAACCTATCACAGCAGAGACAAGCAATTTGGTCAATTTAGTCAGCGACTATGGGCTCAAGATCCGGTTATTGAATGTTAGGTTCGATGATGGAGTATTCGCGAGCCAACCTCCAAATGTTCCATCACGGGAAGAGTTGGATGATGACTATTATTATGATGTTTTTGGGGGGCCTTAGGATACTTCTCACATTTTCCTTTTTTGTTTTGTTTTCTCATCATTATTACCCATGGAACTATAACAGCGAGTCACTCCAACAACCGTTGAACGCTTATCTACGTGCTGTTATCAAACAGCTTGACACTTTTTAATAAATACCCTGTCTGTTTTTTTTCCCCAATCTTCATCACACACTCTCTCCTTTCTTTCCTTCCTTTTTCACCCCCTAGACTAGATCATTTAAATGCCTAATCCTGAACTGTTATCTCACCTAGTATTTAGACATGTAGCTGTATTCACTGTACTTTGGCCCCAGTAAGCTCTTGGATGCTGCTGTTGCTGCTACTACGAGGAGGGGATGACATAAGGTAGGTATATGCATACATCAATATTTACCTTCTTGGCTTGATGAGAGACGGTACGGTACCGTACGTGACCTGAGTTATAATACCGTTGCCTGAAACATAGGGAAACAGACATCCTTTTTGTCTAATCCTTCAACCTTACGAATAGGTTGAAGGGCTTGCTCTTTGCTTTCATTGAAGGGGCAAGCATACCAGGTTCAGTTAATGTCTTTCCAAAGAGTTCTCTTACAATGATATCTGCATATGTTTATCTCTCCCAATGATGGCTGATCGCCCCAGCAAACGTCAGCGAAGATTGGCCATTCATCCGTCAGCTCAGGACGCTGGACTTGGGACGGAGAATAAACAGAGACCTACTTACATACATTCCAGAAGGGCCAAAGCTGATCCTGTAACCCATTCAACTAACTCTTCACAACTCGAAACGAGACGTATCCCGTCGGGCCCAAATCGAACTTACTCCAATCTCCGCGGCCACCGTTCCTCTCCGCCCTCTGACAAGGGGACGCGCACGACACCAGCATCGTCCCTCCAAAAATTCTTTGGGCCTGCAATTAGCGAACAAAGATGGTCTCCCGGGAAATCCGAGTCGACGTATCTCTCTTCGAAGGAAGCAATGGAAGAGGTGAATGGTAGCGAGGACGACAACAACGTCGACGACGATATAATAGATGATGATTATGATTCCTACGATGAGCTATTTACGCAACATCTCGCGAACGAGGAGGTAGTGCGAAATACGACCAAAGTCCAAACACCCTGGCGGGTGCAGTCACCCAAAGGAAGCACAAGTGTTGCGCGTAAACCTACCAACACAGGCAAACGCTTCGTCCTACCAATAGTCTCTGATCATAAAAGTAACGACTCCTCATCAACCCCTCATCAGGCCCATAGGCTGCCTTGGGCGCAGCAGTATTCCCCTATGAATCTAGATGAGTTGGCGGTCCATAAAAGAAAGGTCTCAGATGTGCAAAGCTGGCTTCGCAACGCCTTTACAGGATCTAGGGAACACGTAAGTTTCTACTTTCTGCCATTTATGTATTTCCGATCCACAGTTGTTTTTGCGGCCATGTTGGAGTTTATGTCTTGACGATAACAGAAACTACTTGTCCTCCGAGGTCCTGCGGGGAGCGGGAAAACAACTACAATAAACATATTGTCCCAGACACTAGGGTTTGATATACTCGAGTGGAGGAACCCTCCGGTCTCGGAGTTCGCTACAAAAGCATATGTATCCGTTGCTACTCAATTCGAAGAATTTCTAGGCCGCGGTGATCAGTTTAGAAAGCTTGATTTAGACGAGCTCACTGACTTTCCACGAGACTCTAATCGTCATGCTCACCAGAGGATCATTTTGATTGAAGAGTTCCCAACCCTCTTACATCGAGGCTCCTCTAGTTTGGCTGCATTCAGGCTATCTTTACAGCGGTATCTTGCTATGGAAGCTACATTGCCCTCTCATGGATTTAATGGGAGTGGGAT